CGGCCGCGGGAGGCTCCCGGAGCCCTGCGTGCAGAGCGGGTGGAAGCGCCAAGGTAAAAGCCTGCGGGGAGAGCAAAGGTGCCGCTTCCCGGGGCTGTTCGGGGCAAGAGCAAAAGCCCAAGAGCGCGGTAACTCTGATGTTGCAGGGGGCCCTGCGTTGGAAACCTCCGGTCTCCAGAGGGAAGACCTTGCTCTGTTAGGGCAGGCTTCTCCTGACCTTGGTGCTTCTAGGTGTTTCCCTCATTTAGCAGTACCAAACATACAGATTTCCATCGTTCCTTGCATCTCTCCATAAAACTAGGCTTCTGTCATGGACTCGGCTTGGCTTTACTGCCCCTGTGTCTTGAGACAGCTCCAGGGAAGACTCGCAACTCTTTTTATAGCATTAAAGCAAAATTGCCTTTATAGTACAGCTTAGCATTTGGGATTTTTTATTTCCATCCCCCCCCAAGAAAAAAAATCAGAACTCCTGAGCCATTTTTGAAAACATTAAGTTTTGCCTCTCTTGAACACTGGAGGGGGAGAAATGCTCGTTATGAAGGCTGGTAGAGGGGACAACGGGTGGAAACGGTACGAATTTTATTTTTCATTCCTCTCGGCAAATGAATTGTCATTTTTCTTTCTCAATCTAATTGGATTTTAAAGCAATGTTAAAATAACCTAAGTTGGCAAGTGGTCCCTGGAGTTTGGAGAACATTATCTCCGAATCATAACAAATAAATAAATAAATAACATTAAGTAGAACATAGGAGGAGTAAATTTTCAACCTTAGAAGTTATTTCCACGAATTCAGCTTCCTTTGCTTTCATCTTATTAGCTGACACTCTCGATTCGAAAGAGCAGCCTGAAGTCTAGGAGAACCCTATGTCTACACCTGCAGGAACATGGAAGGACATTTGGATCCCGGCGGGTTTTACTTGTTTTCAGGTCAGTGCACCAATGCACTGTGTATCTCTAAAGGTAGGTAACTGAAAGGCTGTAAAGACATAGGAAGCCTCGTCTTTTGCAGTTGCTGCTGACCTCCCATGCAATTGTAATTTCACGTTCTTTCTGACTTGGGCGATAAACCTCATTTGTGACAAAAAGTAAACTGTAATGTCCGCAATGAAAGAATGGTATACACTTGAGTAATTCACAGAACTAGTGGCTGCTCAGTAAACTCGTTTGATTCCTTCCCGCCCATCCTTGCCTATGAGCTAATCTCCTGGTGTTCTGTCTCTGCTGACGTTCAAAACCTGGGACCCCAGAGCGTTATCATTAACGAAAGCTCCCGAGCTACGCGTTACAGTGCTTTGCCAGTCCTAACTGGAAGAAACTCTAGCCTCTGCTGTAAGCGGAAATCTGTCCCCAAACGCTTATGTAATCTGGCTTGCATTTTAAAGAAAAGGTTAATTTTCCTGGACAAACACGATAGTGCCTAAAAGTAACTAAGCGCTGTTACGCTCCATTTCCGTAAAACGGCAGCGGTGGTTTTTCCCAACATCTTGTCGCTCTTCAGCCCTGGGTAAGCGCACAGTGAAGCGGACATGCAAAACATACGGTAATCGAGAGAGAAGCTTTCCAGGGACTGATAATGCCATGAAAGCGTCCTGTATATGTTCTCACGCTCTGTGACTTTTTAGCAGAAACAAATGCCAACCGTCCAGCCTGAAGTTATTGCCTGCTATAAACGTAAGGTGAATGGCCATTTCTCCATTCTGTTCTGAAGAGAGACTCTGGTATCGTCGCTGATCGTGGCGTTTACTGCAGGTACGGAGTAACTTAGGCGCTGCCGTAAGATCACGGATTTGGGGCATTGAAGGGAAAGTGCATCCTTGCAAAGGATCCCCAGCACTCTAGATTTTATACCAGTGGGGGGGGTTGTGTGTTTTTTTCGAGCATGTCTAAACTGAGTACATGAGTTACAGTCTACAGATTTTATTAGCCTGTATATGTTTTGGGTTCTTTTATATTTCTTTACCTCCCCTGCCAAAATCATAGTTTTGTTCTTTTTATGTGGAGTCTGGATCTTTGGTCTTGCAACAGTGTTCGGAACTGTGGTTGTTGTTATTTTGGGTAATGGAGTGAAGCTGAAAAGTAGCACGAGATCGGCGGTGAACAGCTCCATCCTGAGCCACAAGCAGAATCGCAGGAAGAGTTATTATTTAGTACAAAATACAGCGCTTTGAAAAGAGAAGCCATTTTGCACCGAAATCCGAAGGTCTTTGTTCTGTAACTGTCGCGACAGGATGCTTTGACGTAGTTAGAAGCTTTTCGTATCACGTGAAATGAAATCGTGGTGAGTTCAGCGTGATTTTATGGAGAGGCATCGGCAGCTTTGCGGTCTCTGACCGACAGTGGTTTTGTGGAAGGCCAGCTGCCTGAGGAACCCGAGCAATGGCAGTAACGAAGCCCCACTTCTGAATTTGGTAGCTGTACAGTAAGGTGTCGGCTCGGAAAACACAGCAAGCAGCACTTCATGCACTCGTTACGTTCGTCATTCCAGCAGCAGCCTTGCCAGTGTAGCTGCATCTTCAAAGCTGGAAGAAGGAAACAGCGGGGGATGGCAGCGCCGACTGAATAGCTGAGCCCTGCCTCACGTAAAGAGCAAGGAGATCTCCAAGCCGCGTACAACTTGGTCATTAGACGTTCTCCTTTTGGCCATCAGCGAAAGAGGTCGTAGGGGAAAATCCTCCATTAAGTCCAACTCCCCACGTACAGAAAAGAAATCAGATTAAAAATGAATAAAACCGTTGGGCAATTCTCTGCAAGGCAGGCAGGGACGAGCAGTGCAGGCCAAGCCACCGTTCCCACTGCAAAGAAAACAAAAACACAGGTGCTGAATGTACTGAAGCCATGCAGATGAGCCCTGTGTGCAGTACACGCTCTCTGCAAGAAGAAAAAATATCACTCTTGTTATTTGGCTATTGTTCGCTTGAGGCATGTGTTATTTCAGCTCAACTCCAAGCAGAGTTATTACAGGTCCCGCAGCAGAAGTTCTCTGTGATGAGAGAAACATGTGATCCCCGGGCCCTAGAGAAGAAATTATGCTGGGAAGGCACCTCCGGCGGGAAGGCTGATGCTGGCCACCTGAGCAAACACCCAGTCTAGCGAGCGTAAAAAAGCAAGCGTAATGGATATACGTAACGGCTGTCCAGAGGAGCGGTTAGGTACAAGTTTCTCCCCGTGACCCTGCCTAGCGAAAGGCTGTTTTCTGTATGCATCTC